TTCATTTGAAAGTTGTTACTTAGGGGTTTTTTGGGTCGCTGATTACGAATATGATGTCAGATTTAAAAAATTCAAAATGGCGGATTCAATATGGCGTTTGAAATTTATAAAAAAATAATATTCTCAAAAAGCAGAATTTCTGATAATAGTTTTGTTTTGTACCGTACAATCCGTATTTATTTTTAAGAATGAATGCCCACATTAATGTTGAACCAATATGTTCATCGTTACATTCAATTAAGTACCTTTTTAAATATTGTTATAAAGGAAATGATTGTGCTTTAATTGAAATGAAATCTATTTTTAATAATAAAATTACAGTCGAAAAAAGGAATGCAATCATGATAATAGTGAAGTAAATAATATGGAGTATGATAAAATAAAACAATATGTGAACACAAGATATGTATGTCCTTCTGAAGCAATGTATGGAATATTAGAATTTAAATTGCACGACATGTCACATACGCAGTGGCGGATCCAGGGGGGATCAATAGGGTCATGACCCCCCCTGGAGCAAAATATTTGTATTAAAAAAAAGGTCACACAAAGGTGGTCGACGGACGTCGATCATCTATGGATGACCCCCCCCTGGAGTAAGTTCTGGATTCGCCACTGCACATACGATTTACAGATTAGCTGTTCACAATGAAAATGAACAAAATGTATATTTCAAAGAAGGTTCAGAAGAAATTTGTTTTAATAAGAATGTAAATACGACACTGACTGCATGGTTAGCTTTAAATAAGACAGATATAGGAGTAAGAAGTTTATTCTATTCGGAAATTCCACAACATTATGTCTTTAATAAATGCAGTAAGACATGGAATAAAAGAAAGATGTCCAAAAAGCCTATCATAAGTAGAATGTATGTAGTTAGTGCACGTCAACGTGAAAAATTTTACCTAAGATTATTACTATTATTATTGCTTGTGAAATACAATATCTAACAGCAATATGCGAACTTTTTGCCTACATATGTGTATATCATAATCCAATTAATGCCCGCGAATTATACGATAAATATAAAATGCATTTTTATTTTTCTAAAATGCAACCTGAACAAGGAGAAATATGGGCTCTACAAATAATCAATAACATTTTAACTATGAATACTTTTTCTCTACAAGATTTCAATTTACTAACATTAGATAATGAAATACATTTTCAAGAGTCTTTTTCAAATTGTAACTTACATTCATCTATTAATAATATAAATACTTTAACCGAAAATTAAAAATATATATTTGATTCTATCACAGATGCCATTTATAATAATAATGCAAATAGAAATTTTTATATTAATGCTGCTGCAGGTTGTGAAAAAATATTTGTTGACTCTTTTAAAATTGTCACCTATTTTATAAGCTATTAGAAGAAAAAAAAATTGCAAAATAATTTTTTTGCAATAAATCGCGCCAAAAAAGAATGTGACATATTTTTCGAATAGACATGTATGTAAGGCATGTGGTTTTAAATTTTGAAGAAAAACTGTAATAAATTTATAAAAGAAAACGAAAAATTTATTTCGGGTGTCGGTCGGCTTCGGTCGTTTTAGAACTTAATATAATAAGAAGGATATGAGGGAAAATGAAAATTTCATCATCGAAGCCTTTAGCGACGTAATAATTTGTGTATTAATTTATAAAAATAATACATGCGTACATTTTTTTATAATACACACTAATACATTTTACTTAAAATTTAAAAACACTTACATTCATTCTAGCCTTAACCCATTAACGACCGCCAGGACGAAAAATTTACCTTCACTTAGCAGCTGTTATTTTATATGAAAAAATAATTCAAAAAATTCAGGATAGCCCATTTCTAACGTAAAATTTATCGCTCTTTTCGATTTTAAAGTCCAACTTTAATTATAATTAAATCCTTAATATTTATAACAATTTTATTGCAAAAAAACATGATTTTCTGCAAAAAAATTTTTATTCAAAAAATATTTTGACATGGAAAACCACAGTTGAATTGCTCCGAAACCCAAAATATCGCGTCCTCGAATACCCAGTTACAAAACTATATAGTTGTGAATTTTAAAATTTAAGATAGCGGACGACAAAATGTCGATTTTCCACAAAAAAAGATTTAAAAAATACTATTTTGCAAAAAATAATATATTGATGAATTATTTTTATTTCTGCACAATATACTTATGTTTTTTGGGTCACTCAACACGAATACGGTATAAGTTATCAAAAATTCAAAATGGCGGCTATTTTAAATCCGCCATTTTGAATTATTGAAAAGTAACTTCAGATTCGTAACCGGCGACCCCAAAAAACCCCGAGTAACAAATTTCAGATAAATCCATTGAGTTTTTGAAATAATTGTCCGCTATATTGGATCCGCCATTTTGAATTTTTGAAAACTTATACCGTATTCGTGTTTAGTGACCCAAAAAACATAAGTATATAGTGCAGAAATAAAAATAATTCATCAATATATTATTTTTTGCAAAATAGTATTTTTTAAATCTTTTTTTGTGGAAAATCGCCATTTTGTCGTCCGCCATCTTAAATTTTGAAATTCACAACTATATAGTTATGTAACTGGGTATTCGAGGACGCGATATTTTGGGTTCCGGAGCAATTTAACTGTCGTTTTCCATGTCAAAATATTTTTTGAATAAAAATTTTTTTGCAGAAAATCATGTTTTTTTGCAGTAAAATTGTTATAAATATTAAGGATTTAATTATTATTAAATTTGGACTTTAGAATCGAAAAGAGCGATAAATTTTACGTTAGAAATGGGCTATCCTGCATTTTTTGACTAAAATTATATTTATGAAAATGTATTATTATTGAAATACATTCTTATAATATTTTATTTGAGGAAATGTGTTTCAAAATATTTATTAACTATTAATTTTAACGTCCTAATTACGCTGTTATAAAATAAATTTAATGTAGGATCTGGAATGTAGGATCTGGAATGTAGGATCTGGAATGTAGGATCTGGAATGTAGGATCTGGAATGTAGGATCTGGAATGTAGGATCTGGAATGTAGGATCTGGAATGTAGGATCTGGAATGTAGGATCTGGAATGTAGGATCTGGAATGTAGGATCTGGAATGTAGGATCTGGAATGTAGGATCTGGAATGTAGGATCTGGAATGTAGGATCTGGAATGTAGGATCTGGAATGTAGGATCTGGAATGTAGGATCTGGAATGTAGGATCTGGAATGTAGGATCTGGAATGTAGGATCTGGAATGTAGGATCTGGAATGTAGGATCTGGAATGTAGGATCTGGAATGTAGGATCTGGAATGTAGGATCTGGAATGTAGGATCTGGAATGTAGGATCTGGAATGTAGGATCTGGAATGTAGGATCTGGAATGTAGGATCTGGAATGTAGGATCTGGAATGTAGGATCTGGAATGTAGGATCTGGAATGTAGGATCTGGAATGTAGGATCTGGAATGTAGGATCTGGAATGTAGGATCTGGAATGTAGGATCTGGAATGTAGGATCTGGAATGTAGGATCTGGAATGTAGGATCTGGAATGTAGGATCTGGAATGTAGGATCTGGAATGTAGGATCTGGAATGTAGGATCTGGAATGTAGGATCTGGAATGTAGGATCTGGAATGTAGGATCTGGAATGTAGGATCTGGAATGTAGGATCTGGAATGTAGGATCTGGAATGTAGGATCTGGAATGTAGGATCTGGAATGTAGGATCTGGAATGTAGGATCTGGAATGTAGGATCTGGAATGTAGGATCTGGAATGTAGGATCTGGAATGTAGGATCTGGAATGTAGGATCTGGAATGTAGGATCTGGAATGTAGGATCTGGAATGTAGGATCTGGAATGTAGGATCTGGAATGTAGGATCTGGAATGTAGGATCTGGAATGTAGGATCTGGAATGTAGGATCTGGAATGTAGGATCTGGAATGTAGGATCTGGAATGTAGGATCTGGAATGTAGGATCTGGAATGTAGGATCTGGAATGTAGGATCTGGAATGTAGGATCTGGAATGTAGGATCTGGAATGTAGGATCTGGAATGTAGGATCTGGAATGTAGGATCTGGAATGTAGGATCTGGAATGTAGGATCTGGAATGTAGGATCTGGAATGTAGGATCTGGAATGTAGGATCTGGAATGTAGGATCTGGAATGTAGGATCTGGAATGTAGGATCTGGAATGTAGGATCTGGAATGTAGGATCTGGAATGTAGGATCTGGAATGTAGGATCTGGAATGTAGGATCTGGAATGTAGGATCTGGAATGTAGGATCTGGAATGTAGGATCTGGAATGTAGGATCTGGAATGTAGGATCTGGAATGTAGGATCTGGAATGTAGGATCTGGAATGTAGGATCTGGAATGTAGGATCTGGAATGTAGGATCTGGAATGTAGGATCTGGAATGTAGGATCTGGAATGTAGGATCTGGAATGTAGGATCTGGAATGTAGGATCTGGAATGTAGGATCTGGAATGTAGGATCTGGAATGTAGGATCTGGAATGTAGGATCTGGAATGTAGGATCTGGAATGTAGGATCTGGAATGTAGGATCTGGAATGTAGGATCTGGAATGTAGGATCTGGAATGTAGGATCTGGAATGTAGGATCTGAAATGTAGGATCTGAAATGTAGGATCTGAAATGTAGGATCTGAAATGTAGGATCTGGAATGTAGGATCTGGAATGTAGGATCTGGAATGTAGGATCTGGAATGTAGGATCTGGAATGTAGGATCTGGAATGTAGGATCTGGAATGTAGGATCTGGAATGTAGGATCTGGAATGTAGGATCTGGAATATAGGACCTGTAGTTTGCTTATTTTAGTTGTTTAGAATTTTGAACAGAGCTCTGTGCCGGGGTTGACGTGAAACGTCCCAGATGTAAAATTGTAAAAAAATTTAGTTAGCGCTTTCTTTTAAGACAGAAATTTCCTTCTTTAGGTAAACATCTTTAACAACAGTTTTTCAGTGCAGTCTATTTAAAATTTTAAAATAATATTAAAGTAATTTACCTAAATTTCCAGAAGATGATTTATTCAAACCTCGAAGTATGTACAAATGTGTCGAATCATTATCAAAATCAGTCAGTTTCTCAACTTCGGGCATCAAAAACCATTCTGATCTAGTTTTCATACGCGCTGTTTGCCTTTCATGTACCTTTAATAATAAAATATCAAATTAAATTAACCTAGATTTAGTAAAGGGGTAAGTAGAGTAATCGAATAATAAATTTAGTTTAATAAATTAAATTTAAAAATTGAATGTTAAAGTATTAAGTAAGATACACTAGTAGACTGAGAGCCTGCAACGTAAGAATTCACGTCATTTCTTAAGGGGTTAGTACCCCGTCTTTTTTCAAAAACATCGAGTTTCTAAAAACTGCATATTCTTGTAGTAGATATATGTAGAAATCCTATGGAAACCATTATTTTGGTTAGAAACTTCGGTAACGAGGACAGTTTTTTTAAATTTAAAATGGCAGACTTTTTTTAAAAATCGTTCGGATTTGCTTGAAACTCTCTACTCGGGGGTTTTTGGGGTCGCTGAAAATGAATCCGGAGTCAGTTTTTCAAAATTCAAAATGGCGGATGCAACATGGCGGACAAATATTTAAAATCACTGGAAACTACTTACTTCAGACGAATACATTAAGTTTTTTCAAAAGTTGTCCGACATATTGGATCCGCCATTTTGAATAACTGACCTCTGATTCGTAATCAGCGACCCCGCAAATCCCCAAGTAAAGAATTTTACAAGGATCAATAAAAGATATCGGTTTAATTAGTAATTTGTTCATATAATTTGTTTATAACAAATTACGTGTGTTCCACTAGAACATAATTTTACAAATCACAAATCTGTAGGAGTACTTTAAGTGTATAATAATAATAATAAATATTTCTATTTTGTTGATAATACATACGATTCACGCAGGAAAAAGGTACTTTTTATTTGTTTATTTATAATAATATAATTATATATACAAAATGAAAATTAAAGATTGGGGTTTAGCAATATCTTAAAAATTTAGTGATGATTATTTTAAGTCAAGAAAATCGAAAATTGTTAAAAAATTATTAGTTTTACGCTGTTTTCAGTGCTTAATGTATATCCTGTGTAACGTCCTGCGTTATTTTATTAAATTTTATGTTCTTTTTTCTTTTAATTTTTTGTAAATTTTGTATGGAAAACATCTGTTTTATCTAAACTACGTCTCATATTTTTTGTGTAAATTGTTTGTCTTTCTTTTAAAACCGATAACGAGACAAAGTACTTTCAGTAGTCTTCACTCGTGGGATGCACTTTGAAATTTGGAAAATTCAATATAGATAAGAATGTAGCTATTAAATCTTTTAGAAACTCTAAAGTGCATCCTTCCAGCTGTTGACTGCTGGGGTCTTTTTCATATCTTATCACTTTCCCACGAAGGTCCAAGAGTTTCTACCATCAAATTACATCTGTTAGTCATAAAACTATAAAAAATATTAGGATACAAAGTCTGTTGTATTTCTATTTTTCTAAATAATATCTCACACGTCGAATAAGTGAATTTTAAATAATTTTAAATAATTCTTAAAAATATATTTTTTTTAATTTTTAGTTAAGTTTTAATATTAATGTTTGGAATTTCAAATTAATTTATTATTTATAATTATATAGTTTTAAAGGAGAGGGGAATAGAGGATGGATTGGTAGAAAGGATAAAGCAGTTGTACGAGGACACCAAGGAACGGGTGAAAATTGGGAATAGGTTGGGGAGGGAATTTTGGTTGGGTAGAGGGTTGAGACAGGGCTGCCCCCTGAGACCAATACTGTTTAATATGTTGATTGCGGATCTGGAAGAGAGAATGAGGAAGAGAGGTAAAGGGGGGGTTATACTAAGGAATGGAAGAATATATACGCTGGCGTATACGGGTGATGTGGTTTTGATGGCGAAAGATGAGAATGGAATGAAATTGTTAATGAATGAATTTGAGAAATATGTGAGGGAAAAAGACTTAAGGGTGAATGTGGAGAAAACGAAAGTGCTGAGATTTAGGAAAAAGAAGGATAAAGAAGAGATAGAATGGAAGATGAATGGTAAATGTGTGGAAGAGGTGAATGAGTTTTGTTACTTGGGGTATTGGTTTATGTATAGTGGAAAGCAGGATTTGAATGTGGCACAAAGAGTGGAAAAAGGCGGGAAAGCAATGGGTCAAGTATGGGGAATCGGAAAAAGGAGATTTGAGGATGACTGGAGAAAAAGAGAGTGGCTGTTTGATGCGTTGGTATGGTCGATAGTGAGTTATGGAGTGGAAATATGGGGGTGGAATGAAATCGGGAAGTTGGAAAGTATGCATGAGAGATATTTGAGATGGACGATGGGGGTGGATTGGAAATGCCCGGGGTATATGTTGAGAGAGGAAATGGGTAGGGAAAAAATGGTGACGAGGCAGAGAAAGAGGGCGAGAAATTTCGAAGAAAAATTAGAACAGGGAAAGGGAAGTAAAATAGCGCAAACATGCTGGGGATTAATTAGAGAGGGTGAGAGGGGGTGTAAAAGATGGGAAAAAGGAAGAAAGGATGCGATACAAGAGGGGAGAGAAAATATGGGAAGGGGGAGGGATTTAATCGAGGCCTGGGGGTGGAGAGATAGAGAGGAAAGGTGGAAAAGGATCATGGAATCAAAGTACAATAAATGGTACAAATTTATTAAAAGGGAGGAAATGCCGAAATATTTGGGTAGAAGATTAAGGTATGAAAGGTGGAGTAGGGTATGTAGGTTTAGAATGGGTGAAGGTATGAGAGAATGCAAGTATTGGTTGGAAGAGGATGAAAGGAAATGTAGAATATGTGAGTTGGAAAGTGAAGATTGGGAACATGTGTTGGATAGATTTAATGGATGTTTGGGTGGAAAAAAAGTGTTAAGGAAAGAGTGATTTGGATATTGGATGAGAATGGTCAGGGCGAAAGATGGATGAATGAGCTGGAAGATTTGAAGAAAAAGAGGACTGAGGGTTTAATTTAAGATCGTATCCGTGGGGAGGGTTAGTGAAAAAGTAAATTTGAGGATGCCAAAAAGGGCACAAAAGTACTGGAAACGAAAGCCCTGGCACTGGTTGACAAGGCACGATAAAGTTATTTAGATTGTAAAAGTAGGTAGTAATAAGTTAGGTAGTTTTAAGTTGCGTTAGTTTTAACTTATAATGTATTTGTAGGTTAAGATGGTATTAAGATTGTATGGTTAGGAGTTTTGAACCCTGTATAATGCAGGGAGAGTAAATAAAGATATATATTTATAATTATATATTCAAATTACTAAAAAAATAAAATTAATTAAATCTTAATTAACAATTTAAATTAATATTGAAATTGTAAACATTATTATGAAAATAATTAATCATTTACACTATAAGTAACAGAAATTTTACATGTTTCTTTTTTAACTATTGTCATTTAATTATATATAATTAATTTTACTTAACTATCTTTTATATTTATATATATGTATAAAAAAAGGTATGTGTGTGTAATTGAAAGTGTAAATTTTTAATATTATGTAATTAACTATTCATAAAAACATGTATTTCATAAATAATTTTAAGAATTTTTGTACTTTTGAAAATTCGTTTAAAAAGTGAATTTTGGCTCCATCTTTTAAAAATAGTGTAAACTATAGTTCCCCACTTTTTCGAAACACCCTAATCTTAAAGATACGCCCACGCAAAGTCATCACTTGCAAGGCTGGGCCTGAAAGATCCAATGACATCTTTCTTTTAGATAAGTTTTTCATAAAAAACCCAATCACTGATCTTTTTAACTTCCCACTCTATAAAATATTCATCTCCAAATTTCCACCCAACTAAAAAATTTAAGTAGGGATAATAATATAAAACCTGAAGATTTGAATTAAACAGGCAGTCAAAATTCTAAAGTCAAATTTCTCAAGTTCAATTTCTTAATTCTCAGTGCAACAAGTCAAATTTCTGCAGTCAAATTTCTCAATTCTCAGTGCATTTAGTCAAAGTTCTAAGTTCAATTAATTTAACTCTTAATTCTTAATCACCATGCCAAGACTCAAAATTCAAATTTAAACGAATTTTCAACGAGCTTCAGCAATTATAAATAAAACAAAAAAAAGTAAGTACTTTTATTCCATAATAAATTACTTTTCTCCTCATATCTATTTTTTTCTTGTCATACTTCTAATTCCGAAGGTCGTGGTGCGATTAAGTTGCGCATTTTAGTTCTTTCATTCCTTAAAAGATTTGATCGTTATTTTTTTTATTAAACACCTTCCGAAAAGATTTTGGTGTATTCAGTGCATCATTATCTTTTCAATCCTTTTAAATTCTCCTTCAAATAAAACTAACCAATTTGACAGTGTCCCGAGTTGTGGACAATGCGTCTAGACTCAAAAATAAATTAAAATTTATTAACTATGTTGCGTTATCGGACGTAACACCTTTCTCAAAAGTGCCAGACGAATGAGAAGCAGACGAATGAGAATTTGGCAGTTTTTTTTAAAAAAAAGGTAGAAACAACATTAAATAAAAAAATAAGCAATTCTATCCGATAGAGAATTCAAGTTTGCAATACATAAGCCTATAAAAGGACCTAAACATACTATTTTTTTCAAAAAAATTGATGCCAGACGAATGAGAATTTGTCTGGTCACAACGCAATCATGGTCACAAATTGAGAAATCTTGGTTAATAGAATAACAAATTAAATAAAACTCGCGTGGTATCACATTTAGTTTAGTTTAATTAACAACAATAACGAACTGTAACTCCATTAGAATTTTGATTTTTAATAATTTTAACGTGTTTTCAACTGCCAGACGAATGATGAAAAAATCCAGGGACAAAATTCAAGAAGATATTTTATAAATAAGGTATAGAGTAATGTCATAATTATTTCCATATTAATAATCTACAACTATTCAAAATTACTAATCCAGTATGAATTTTTCTCTAAACACTTGAAAAATAATATTTTTTCACAATATGAACTGTCAATTACACTGCGGGACATGCCAGACGAATGAGAATTTAGCACTTTGATGTGTATTTTTTGCAAGAAATATTTTTTTTCGTCGGCTGCTTTTTAGTGCCACAATAGAAACCATTTAGATTTACAATTTTCATAAAAAAATTATTTTTTTCAAAATTAAT